CATCCAGAGAGCACTGTGGACTCAAACAATGGTGGATCAGGACTAAGCTTGGCAAAACATTCCATATGCCCAAATATGCACACACATGGAGTTTGGGGGAAATAGACCTTGACATTTGGGAGTTGTAGTTACTTGGATTTATAGTTCACCTACAATCTAAGACCATTCTGAACCCCACCAATGATAGAACTGGGCCAAACTTCTTACACAGAAGAGATTTGTTTGCACGAGCCTCCTTCCAACCTTGCATGCTCTCCCTCGCCTGCACATGCATACCACACTGCCATGCGCCGAGCACGCCTGCTCTCCCCTCCCCACTTGGAGTCTCAAAACAGCCTTTCCATTGACTGAGAGGCTGGCAGTGGAGGACTTTTGGTGGGAGGATCCTTCGTCTGTTTCCAAAGAGGAAGGTGAGATCTTCAGGCTTCACTGCCAAAGGGTTTCCTAAAACCATCAGAAATAATGTGTTTTCGGATGGTCTTTGGCGAACCCCAGGTTGAGAAACACTGTCCTAGTTCATGAGCTACAACTTGCACTAAGCTATTCCCCTGTTCCTGGTTACAGTTGGCCATGTTTTACAACACTCACCATAGGTTATTGGGCTCTGTTTTGAGTTTAAATAATTGTTTTATATGCTAGTATCTTTTAATGTATTGTGTAAACTGCAAGTTGCTTCTGGTGCGAATTGGCCGTCTGCAAGGATGTTGCCCAGGGGACGCCCAGATGTTTTGACGTGTTGCCATCCTTGTGGGAGGCTTCGCTCATGTCCCCACATAAGGAGCAGGAATATATGTTAGGATCACCTTAGGATAGTCATAAGTCAGAAACAACTTGAAGGCAGAAAACAGCCAATGTTTTACAATTCTAGCCTTAATTAACTAAAAAGTTGTTGTGTATTACTGGGAAACCAATAGAAAAAGTCCAAATGCCATTGGAGATTATGAATCCTGTTACACAAGAGGCATTCTTGTGGGCTCTCATGAAAGTTGACCAAGGATCTGCCATTCAGATGGTTGGAAAACCTTGTTCACAGCTTCCAGCTTGGTTCAGTTGTTTTGGCATGACTCCTAAGAGTCTTGTAAGAAGCAACCAATTCTCATTTAAAAACTGAGAGCCAAATTGGATGAGAGAGGAGAGACCTCTTGGTCTTTTCTGGTTTAACCCCGAGACTGTAAGGAATGTCTGATAAGGATCTCTCCACTAGAGTGGCTTATATAGCACGATTTGGTTTGGTTTTAAAGTAGGTTTAATTCCTCTTCTACTATTAGTGCCAGCTGTTGTATAGCCAGGAATTCTCTGAGGATGGAAATTCTTGCAGATACCAAATGGAAAACTGCCTTGGATGCGTGTCAAAGAGTTTAGTGGCCGGATACTGTGTATTTTCTAGTTTTACCCCCCCCCCCCTCCCAATAGTGTTTTGCTTTTCACATTTCTGGGTAGAAATAGCTTGGCTTATTAGAAAGAATTTTTAAAAGACTCATTAGACTTAATATGATACATGAATACAATATGGATACAAGTTGAATGCTCTTCTCCAAAATGCCTGGGGCAAGGAGTGCTTTGGTTTTTGCAAAACCTGCATTGGCATATATATAAATGGGACCCAAGGCTGAACACAAAAGTCATTTATCTGTCATATACATCTTATGTACATAGCCTAAAGATAATGTGAAATGCTATTTTTAAAATATTATTGTGCAAGTAACAAAGTTTGTGGACATTGAATCGTCAGAAAGCAAAGGGGTTGTCCACTCACGTGAACAATATTAGATTTAGAGTATTTTTTATTTTGGAATTATGGGAAAGGGAAGTTCAACCTGTATATTAAATGTAATATAATTATGTAATATAAATGCAATATAAAACAACAAATGTTGAATTGCTATTGAGCTTCTTACATACATTTAAGAAATAATGTTTTTTAAAAATATTTTGTATTAAGTTTGGCCGCTAGTAAAAGTGAAGGTAAAGATTTCCCCTTGACATTAAGTCTAGATAAAATAAAGCTTTGCTTTTTGAAATATTCAAGAGGTGGATAGTTGAATCTGTGGGTATAGAGGGACAATTATATAATCTTTTGTTGTTGTTCATTCGTTCAGTTGTTTCCGACTCTTCGTGACCTCATGGCCATGCCAGAGCTCCCTGTCGGTCATCACCCCCAGTTCCTTCAAGGTCAATCCAGTCACTTCAAGGATCCCATCCATCCATCTTGCCCTTGGTTGGCCCCTCTTCCTTTTTCCTTCCATTTTCCCCAGCATCATTGTCTTCTCTAGGCTTTCCGTTCTTCTCATGATGTGGCCAAAGTACTTCATCTTGGCCTCTTCTATTCTTCCCTCCAATGAGCAGTCAGGCATTATTTCTTGAAGTATGGACTGGTCGCTATCCATAATCTTTAGGTAAAGGTTTCCTAAAGACGCCTCCAAGTTCATGTGACCGGCATAACTGCATGGAGCATTGCTACCTTCCTACCGAAGCGGTACCTATTGATCTATTCACATTTGCATGTTTTCAGACTGCTAGGCTGGCAGAAGCTGGGGCTAACAACAGGAGCTCATCCCGCTCCCCAGATTCGAATTGCCAACCTTTCAGTCAGCAAATTCAGCAGCTCAGCAGTTTAACTCACTGTGCCACCGGGGGCCACTAGTACCCTCCCTATATATTGGATTGCAATAATTTCTTATTATGAACATTAGGAAGATATTCCTAACTGTAAGAGCTGTTCAACATTGGAACTCTTTGCCTCAGAGTATGATGGAAGCTCCTTCCTTCGGGGGTTTTAAGCAGAAGCCGAATGGTCATCTGTTAAGGATGCTTTGATTATGCTTTTCCTACATGGCAGGGGTTGGACTGGATGGTCCATGGGGTCTCTTCCAACTCTATTATCCAATGATTGGCCTTTTTGTCACTTTGTACGAGGGAGTTACAGCACAAGTGATTTGATGGCCACCAGGCTAGGAAAAAGAAGATCTATGATCCATCAGCTTTTATAACTTATGTAATAATGTGTTCTATGCGGTGAAATTGGAACGTACTGGGCAATCACATCAAGCACCTAAAACAACACAAATTCCAAAGATCAGCAAGTTGTCATAGCAGGGGAGTCAGTTGGAGCAGCGGGTGAGAAAGCCATTCCCTTTAGAAGTTAAAAGGTGGTGTGTACAAGTCAGAACTGTTTATCTAACATCATTATGCCTTTGTTCTGTTGCATTAATTTCAGTCTGTTCGGCATTTCTCTGTTGCTTTGTTTGTATTAAATCAACAATCTGCAGAGATGACCCTTGAAATGGGATGTTTCTGTCTAAACTCAATTGCCCTATGGTATGTGAATGGCATGTCACAACATGTATTTTCTTTGGTTGTTGGGTTCAATGTTTTGCATGAACCTCAGTTAGCTATTAATAGTTATCTCTTTTTTTAAAAAGCAGTAAATAAACATTCTTTCTTTGTTCCTTCCAGTCTGCTAAAGTGCGTCTTGTGCAGAAATAATGCAATGCCCCTTGTATGAGGGACTTGGGAAGGGAGCCAGTCTTCAACCCTCCACCCACTAGTAATGAACCCTTGGCTCCTTGTGTCTTAATCCAACACTCAAATAGCTATATCACATTGAATTTCAGTTGTTGGTTGGGATTCTTTAATTGGATCCTCATAAACAGCCTGTACCTGTTAATTGAGTTAATAAAGTATCCACGATATTTTTATATAAACATTTGGAGTAGGGAAAGTTAGGTTAAGAATAGCAAATATACGCACTTACTTTGGCAATCCCTCATTGTCTGAGTATGATGGCCTTCCAAGTGTTGTGTCTTGGTGGTGGATATGTTGGTGATTGTGGAGCCCTATTCTTGATCCACTTGTTCTTCCACAGTGAGGACATCGGTTTCCAGGTGAAGGCAGTCCCAGTCAGGGTTGTCTTGACGTGCCTTCGGCTTGACACATTTCTCCCTTTTGCCCTCCATCTACAGCACTGCTGGTCACAGATGACCTCCAGTTAGAATGCTCAAGGGCCAGGGCTTCCCAGTTCTCGGTGTCTATGCCACTGTTTTTAATGTTGGCTTTGATCCCATCTTTAAATCCTTTTTTTCTGTCCACCAACTTTTCATTTTCCATTCTTGATTTGGGAGTATAGTAACTGCTTTGGGAGATGGTGATTGGGCATTCGGACAACGTGGCCAGTCCAGCGGAGTTGATTGTATAGGAGCATCACTTCTATGCTGGTGGTTTTTGCTTCTTCCAGCATGCTGACATTAGTCCACCTCTCTCCCCATGCATCTATGGGTCCAAGACCTGCAATTCATGCATCAACTTCTGACAAAGTAGGCATTATTTAGGTCCTCCAGTCCGATATTAATGGGTCGGAAGAACTTCATTCAACAGTGATCTCTATTATCCACAATCTACTTGAAGTCCAGGAACGTATTCCCTACAGATACTGTATCACTGAAGGACAAAAAAATCAATTGCACTACATTGGAAAGAACACTACCAAAGCCTCCTGAATTGCAGCTCCAATGTGGCCGAAGAGGTTTTCTCACAAATCCCGCAAGAACAAACCAGGGATGAGCTTGCAGCACTGCCTAGTCTGGAAGAAGTCAGCAATGCCATCAGCCAACAAAAAAATAACAAAGCCAGCGGACCTGATGGGATCCCTGCTGAAATCTTTAAAGAAGGAGGACCTGAGCTGACATAGCAACTCCACCAGCTCATAGAAAAAGTGTGGGTGACCGAGAAAATTCCAGCAGATTTCAAGGATTCCACCATCATCATCCTCTTCAAAAAATGGGAAAGAACAGACTGAGGAAACTATCGAGGTATCTCAGTGCAGGAGAAGATGCAGATCAAGAATAGGGCTCCACAGTCACATACGGACCCACCACACACTGCACACTGACCCTGGAAGACTATCCTACTCGGACAACGTGGGATTGCCTAAGTAAGTAAGTACTGTATCACAAATGCTCAGAATGTTGACTTCCTTTCTTTGTTTTGTTTTCTCCTCTTAGGGAGAGTTCTGTATACTATGGGATGGGTGGTGAAGAAGAGAGCAAATATGTGTCTCAGCTCAAGGACATGTATGACAGCTGTGATACCACAGGCACTGGGTATTTGGACAAGGAGGAGCTGACGGAGCTTTGCCACAAGTTACATCTGGAAAGACAGCTACCTTTACTCCTGGAAACACTCTTGGGAAATAATCACTTTGCTAGGGTGAGTAGCTCTAAGGTCCCTGCACATCTAATATTCCCTCTCTTAACATTTTTTAAGTTTGCTATATCTTCTCCTTTCTTCCTCTTTCCTCACAGCTGCTTCCAGCCATGCACCTTGGTAGGAAATTCATGGGTATAGGATTTTTGTTTTTGCTGGAAGTTCTCCAGTGAATATTTTCAAAGTCTGGTTTTATTTATCGTGTAAGAAGCGGATAGAGGGTACATTTATAATATATATATATTTAAAAACACAAAGTTAAAAACTTGGCATTATACTAATTTCCTTTGACCAGAAACTGGCCACTTTGAGTGTCTCTGGTGTGACTGTGAGAAGATCCTCTGTTGTGCATGTGGCAGGGCTCAGGATGCATTATAGTAAGTGGACTGTGGTTTGCTCTTCTCCACGCTTGCATGTCGTGGACTCACTTTGTGGCCCCATTTCTTAAGGTTGGCTCTGCATTGTGTGGTGCAGACCACAGTCTGTTCAGTGCTTTCCAAATTGCTCAGTCTTCTTTGCACCCAGGGTTTTAACCTGCCACTTTTGGAATCTTGCTTGCTGAGGTATTCCTGCGAGTATCTCTGTAGATCTTAGAAAGCTGTTTCTTGATTTAAGGCGTTGGCTGATATTTAAACTGGCTGATATCTAAACAGGGGATGGGCCAGAGATGTCACTGCCTTGGTCCTTTCTTTATTGGCTGCTACTTCCCAACGGATACCAGCTAAACAGTATAATTTCTTCAGTGGTGTAGGGCATAGACATCCTGTGATAATGTAGCATGTCTCATAAAGAGACATGCTGTTTTAACATGAGATGAGATGTTTTCAATACTGCATATGCATACTCAGCAGCAGAGTAGCAAAGTGCAAGGGCAGATGCCTTCACTGTGTCTGGTTGTGATCCCCAGGTTGTGCCCGTCAGCTTTCATATGATGTTATTTCTAGCACCCACTTTTTGCTTGATATTCAAGCAGTGCTTCTTGTAAACCAGAGCACGGACCAGAGTGACCCCAAGGTATTTTGGTGTGCTGCCTATTTCCTTTATTCATATTGGAGTGTGATTCATAGCTTATATTTTCTAGTTAGTACCCTACCATAGTTTGCTGTTATTTTAACATCCAGTCAAAATATACTTTTCACACATTTCTAACCATGGTTGTCTTGAGATCCTGGATCCTGAATTGTAGACACACTACAATTTAAACTAGAGATTCTTCAGACTTTTCTACTTGTTACCCCTTTCTGCTGGAGACATTTTTATGCAAACCCAAGTATATAAAATAGGTATAAAATCAAACATTTACTAATAATAAATCAACATTTGCAATGCTTCCTAAACATGCTGGTTTTCCTTTTTATGAAGTGCAACTGTGAAGCATATTTTGCAGAATCCATTGTAAACCCTGCACGTTGTTGCTAACAGATTTGTGTAAACGCGTAGCATTTAGAAACCCTTTATTGTTTCCAAATTTTTCATGACCTCAGCCACCCCAAATGGGATCCCCAGCTAAAGGGATCCCCTTTGGGGTCAGAATCTACAGTTTAAGAAGCAGTGATTTAAACAAACAAAAAAAGATGGTCTCAAACATGCCCCTAACTAGATATATGAGCGTCTGATGTGTTCTTTTTGGATGCAGAGAAGGTGGGGAAGAGAAGCACCTCAGCTTGAGACTTGTTATATTTGCTCTCTTTTCTTATTTACTAATATAGTTCACATGTGTTTGCATTATTTTTTTCAGCCGAGAGTCATAAATCACTCGCTCTGTGTTTTTCTCAGCCGTGTTTTTGGCTCATGGAACCTGCAAGAAGCCGAAAGCAAATTGTGTTTCACAAAAGCTGCACTTTTGAACTGACTGAGCTAATGGCTCTCCTGCCTTAGATGTCATCCAATGACAGGCTGGAAGCAAAGTCAACTCTTGTTTGCCGAATTATCTCAACTATCCACAGAGTGCCAGAAACAAACAAATTGACATTCTTACTGTAAAGAGCAAGCTCAGTAAGAATATGAGTAGATCTTATCACCTGAAAGAAATGAGGGAACCTTAAACATTAACGCAATTCTGAGGCTTGATTTGTATTTTACCTTTATGTGGGGAAGGGAGCGTAGCTGATGTGGCTCAGGAGTGTTTGCGTGCCTCCATTGCTCAATATTTTTGCTTTACGTCAGTTTATGCCCAAGAGAAGCCCTTCTTTTTTTGAATGACTCCTGCTTGCTTTCTATTGTTTAAAAAGGACTCTCCTGGACCTAAAACTCGCAGGGAGGAATAAAACATGATGGAGGCGCCCTCTATCTCACCTAGATCGTGAGTTCGAAGCCAGCCCGGGTCGGAGTGAGCTTCCGACCAATTGTGTAGCTTGTTGTCGACCTTTGCAACCCGAAAGACAGTTGCATCTTTCAAGTAGGAAAATTAGGTACCACCTATGTGTGGGGAGGTTAATTTAACAAAATTTACGAGGGCATAAAAAAGACTCCAGCAAAGCACTCTAGCAAAAGCATGCGGGGAATGCGGAAGTATGTCATCAGCATCACAGATGGACGATGAAAGTGACAGCTCCCCTGGCGGCCAGAAAAAGTTAAATAGCCTCTGGCTGTTTGTCTATTTCTGTTGTATGTCTTTGGCATTGAATGTTTGCCATATATGTGTACATTGTAATCTGCCCTGAGTTCCCAACGGGGTGAGAAGTGCGTAATAGAAATACTGTAAATAAGTAAATAAATAATTCCTGCTTTCTATGTAAACCTTCTGTGTGACATTGGTAAATCACACAGTCTTAGCCTCAGAGGAGGCCAATGGCAAACCCCTTATGATCATATTTTCCCTTTAAAAAACCCGTGATAGCTTTGCCTTAGGGTTTCCAAAAGCCAGAAATGACTTGAAGACACTCAGCATATGCTTACTCATGTGTACCAAAGTTCTCCTTGCTGTATGAGTAAGTATCCTTATAAACTGAGATTCTAGAGGATTTTTTTTTGTGCATTTCTTGTTTAGAGTGCCCTGGAGCAAAAAAAGGGAAGTCTCCAGACCATCCAAAGTTTTGTACTTATAACCTCCAGGTAAATAATTGAAATGTTATGGTGTGTCTTGCAGAGTGCTTAAAGGAACCACTGTGATTTAAAATGGAAGCACAAATGTGTTCTACCATAATTCCTATGGTAGAATTCCTATAATAATTCCTATTAGCTATTTAGATAATATCTTATTTTAGCGGAACCAAATGAGAACTAAATTCCACCAAGGATTTGGGATGCTCTTAATTTCCTCTTTATGTACCTTCCTCCACATAATAAGACAGAAAGGAAACAAGAGCTGAGATTTCTTTCTACTCCAGACTCAACTGAACAGATTCCTCCTGTCTGTCTCCCTATTAGGTTAACTTTGATGAATTTAAGGAGGGCTTTGTGACCGTATTGTCCTCAAGCATCAGCCTTGGTCTCTCTGACGATGACAGCAGTTATTTGGAGCCAGGTGGGTACAAAGAGTGAATTGGAAGAAGAAGATTTATTTTGGATTTCCTGATTTAAGACTTTGTCTAAGATGTGGATTAACCACTAAGCTAAGTGTGCTACAGAGCATCCTGGATCAATGCATTAGTAATGCAACCTGTTCAATTGGAGCCCCTTCTGTTGGTTTTTTTCGTGCCTTAAAAATAGTAAAAGAATATTGCTCAAAGAAGGATGGTGTAGAAAACAGCAATGATCATACAGTGCTGTTATTTTCAAGAGCATTAATCTTCCCTTGTTCTTTTCACTAGTTATATAAAGTTGTTCCTTTGACTGCAGTTCCTTTATTTGGAAAACCTTCAAACTGTAGTTCCTACATAGGGCAGTATTTAATAAATAGGTAAAGGTAAAGGTTTCCCCCTGACATTAGGTCCAGTCGTGTCCAACTCTGGGGGGTGGTGCTCATCTCCATTTCTAAGTCGAAGAGCCGGCGTTGTCCATAGACACCTCCAAGGTCATGTGGCCGACATGACTACATGGAGTGCCGTTACCTTCCCGCTGGAGCGGTACCTATTGATCTACTCACATTTGCATGTTTTCAAACTGCTAGGTTGGCAGAAACTGGGGCTGACAGCGGAAGCTCATACCGCTCCCCGGATTTGTACCTGTGACCTTTCGGTCAACAAGTTTAGCAGATCAGTCGTTTAACCCACTGCGCCACCAGGCAGTGAGTTAAATTAGATTAATTAGATGTAGCTAATTAGCAGCATGGCCATATGCAGGACGATATGGCATTTAAGAACTGGTGGCATGGCCTATCAGTTACCATATGGAGGTAGAAATTTTAAGATCATTGATGTAATTTACAGCTTGCCCCCAGTTGTAACCTCTAAAATAAATATCTCCTCTCCTTCAGCTCTTTGTAAGTATGTTATCTCCAGAAGCTGGCCACTTGAAGTGCCTCTGGCATTGCTGTAAGAAGGTCCTCCATTGTGCATGTGGCAGGGCTCAGACTGCATTGTAATAGGTGGTCTGTGGTTTCCTCTTCTCCACAGTTGCATGTCGTGGACTCCACTTTATGGCCCCATTTCTTAACGTTGGCTCTCATGGTGCCAGAGCGCCGTCTGTTCAGCACCTTCCAAGTTGCCCAGTCTCCTGTGTGCCTAGGAGAGAAGTCTCTCATTTGGTCTCAGCCACTGATTGAGCTTCTGTGTTTTAGCCTGCCACTTTTGGACTCTTGCTTGCTGAGGTGTTCTTGCAAATATCTCCGTAGCTCTTAGAAAGCTATTTCTTGATGTAAGGCATTGCTGTACTGGCTGATATCCGAACAGAGGATGGGCCGGAGATGTCACTGCCTTGGTCCTTTCATTATTAGCTGCTGCTTCCCAACGGATGTCAGGTGGTACAATACCGGCTAAATTAACTTTAGTTGATTTCAATTCTTAGTTGTACCAGATGAAGTTGCCCCCAAGTACATCAATGGGGCCAAATGGTATGGCCGCCGGACGCGACCAGAACTGCAGAGCACTAAGTTGGAAACCACCAAGTATTTACAAGAGCAGCAGTCAAAAAGTCAGCTGAGGCGCTCAGCATCTCTGGAGAGTGTGGAGGTAAGGCAAAGGGTTTTTCTACCAACTATTTGAAATAGTCTGGGTGGATTTTATTGAGACACTGAAATTCTGCTGAATGTGACCACTGTTATATTTGTAGTCACCCATTTTCCCTCATCTCTGCGGCTCCCTTCACCACACTGACAGTGTTCCAGACGGCCCTCCATCTGAACATGAGGAAGAATTTCCTGACTGTGAGAGCCGTTTAGCAGTGGAACTCTCTGCCCCGGAGCGTGGTGGAGGCTCCTTCTTCGGAAGCTTTTAAACAGAGGTTGGATGGCCATCTGTCAGGGGTGATTTGAATGCAATATTCCTGCTTCTTGGCAGGGGGTTGGACTGGATGGCCCATGAGGTCTCTTCCAACTCTTTGATTCTATGATTCCTCTGACCCCTCCCTCGCAACCTCCCCTCCCCAGAGGTCCCGACTCCCAGATTGAGAAACGCTGTGTTAATGTCTGAAACAGCCACTACGTGACGTTTATAATTTCTTTTCGGGACCCCAACATTGTGCTAAAGGGATTCAATTTGGAGTCAGGTCTCACAGTTTAAATGGCAGAAGGTTAGCTTCATAACTTGCATAAAATAGGTAATTTTGGATGTGTTTTTCAGAGCCTTAAATCAGACGAAGAACCTGAAAATGCAAAAGAACCACAGCATGAGATGTTTGAAGGAGAAGGTAGGAACAATTTAAATTTTAAAAAGGTATGAATATGAAGACAAATATTCTTCTTTGGAAACAAACACTGGAATATGTTGAAAGGCAACAAGAGCAGGATTTACTTTTGCTACTTTAACTACTCCATTTAACTAATGTAAGTCTTCATATTTACAGGTCGAATGTGTACATGGGATGATGACCTGTATGATGGCCCCAGAAAAGTCTCCAGCTCCTACTTTGACATGACTGAGAATCAGGTTCGGGACATCTGGGAGGACCTTGGCATTGGAAATAATGGGTACCTGAACAAACAAGAGCTGGCTACTGTTTGTAAGAACATTGGCCTCAAAGAGCTGGGAAAAGAGGTGGGTTGGATTTGGATTTGGAGTATTCTCAGAAAGGTTGGCTCAAATATGAAAACGGTAGTTATGCATAAAGTAGCATTTAGATAAAACAAAGAGCTATGGCTGGTTTCTGGACCTTTAAGCTGCACAGGAATGAATGGACATCATTGTCCTATCTGATCACGTAAAGCAAATTTTAAAAATATTAGTAATGCAGTTGGTCTGCTGAAAGCACAAGATGGATCAAGCTACTCTGCTAGTGAGGCAAGGCTAGTTTGGGATAAAGAACATCCCCTCTGTTTGGATAACCAAAGAGATATCTTCTGCTAATATGATTTAGTGGGAGTTGGTTCCCTGAAGCTGTTTCAATTCTCTCCAGAAACTTTGAGAAAATAAACTGATTTTGTTCCCTTGGTCAGTGTTTGGAGGCTGGATTATTTGTATTGTTTTTTCTTCTTTTGGGTAGCTCAATTTCATCCAAAGGCCCATATGCCTTAATGATAGGGTACAAAAAAAGTCTTAGTATGCAGAACTGGTTTGCTTCTAAGGATATTTGATACTTATGCAAGATAAATTAGCATACTATTATTCTCTCTTTTGTTTGCTATACTGAATAGGGTTGTTCATTTGGGGTAAACCTTGAACTGTTTCGTGTCCTGACTTTCAGTGGGGGCCCTGATTCAGGAGGGCAGATTTCTGTTTTCAGTTTGGGGTACTGAAAGATCCATTTTCTATCGGACCACTATAGGAGGGGTTTCTTGGCCTGCACGCTACACCACACACGCACTCTCCTTGGAAAAAGAGTGCATGTGTGGCGTGGTGTGCAGGCCCAGAAAGTGTGCATGCCTACAATCAAGCACCTCTTACTCTAGAGTGCCTCTGGAGTAAGAGGCACTCAGTTGTAGGTTCTGGCAGGCACATGGACTTTCTGGCTTGCACGCCATACACACACTCAGCGCGGTCTCTGAGATCAACAGGGGAGGCCCTCCTCTCGGTCCCACCACTGTCTCAAGCACAGTTGGTGAGGACGAGAGAGAGGGCCTTCTCTGTGGTTCCCTCCCCCCCCCCCCCAGGCTCTGGAACCTGGAATACCCTCCCAAAAGAGATTAGATTACCCCCCACCCTTCAATCCTTCCATTCCAACCTGAAAACATGGATGTTCAGACAGGCCTTTGACCTTGAGTAGGCTGAATGGGCCCATATGAAGCTGACACTTGGCACCTTGTGCATTGACGGCAGTTAGTTTTATCTACTGTTGTTTTAAAATTGTATTGTTTTGATTTTATGCTACATGTGTTGATGGGGTTGTTGTTATAATTTTATGTGGTTTTAAAACTTTTGTACTGTTTTTACTGATTGTATGTTATATGTGCACCCTGGAGTGCTTTGAGTCCCTTCGAGGAGATGGTGGCGGGATATAAACAAAGTTTTATTACTATTATTTTACTGATACAAAAACATGGTATGTCACAGCAAACGAGATATATATGCTAGATTATTATTATTATTATTATTATTATTATTATTCTGGGAGGCACTCTGCTGCAGACGAAAGCAGGCTTGGGGCCGGGATCACCTCCAGCTTGCTTTCATGTTGAGCTGATTTTCGTGTGAGGAGTGGGCTTCCCGTTTCGTGCTCCCAAAGAAACAAAAGGGAGAAACGAATTCCACGCACAACTCTAATAAGAAATAGTTCAGTTCCCAATGTTTTAGAAAATGTTTGTCCATCAAATACTTTATGGTGCAGTATTTTAATGGTGTTTTATACAGGACCTCGAAGAATTATTTAATAAGTTGGATAGTGATGGTGATGGCCGAGTGAGTTTGAAAGAATTCCAGCTTGGCTTATTCAGCCATAATCGCATTCCCTGCCCAGTTTCTTCCACACCACTGAAACCAAAATGTCAAAGATCAACATCATACCAGGTAATAATGAAAACATACTAATTTCTCTGGGAGACACGTGCTTAAAAATTCTTGAAGCTGCTCGAAAAGCGCCTGCTTTAATTTTTTATAACGTAACAGTATGATTTTAATACAAGTTGAGCATTCCTTATTTGGAATTCTAAAATACAAAAATGCCACATGGGTAGCTGAGAGTGACTTTTGCTTTCTGATAATTTACTATCCAGAAACTTTGCCTCATGTGCAGAATTATTAAAAAATGTCGTGTATAACGTTACCTTGAGGCTGTGTATCTAAAGCAATGGTTCCCAACTTTTTTTTGACCAGGGACCACTTAACCTGGGACCACTTTGACCACTTTCCAACATTAGTACTAAAAGGGTTACGAATCGGTTTTTGGTCAACTGTAGATTCCATTTGGTTATTTGAGGTGTTGATTCAGAAAATTGCATTGGATAGACCACATCAGCTCTAGTTTCTGATACAGAACATATGCCATCCAGAAGTCACCATCTTCTCGCCCACAAAAACATATTTAATGAGCCTTGGCACTATAAGAAGGTCTCGCGAGACTGGTTGCTCTTGTTGCAACTGTGTAGTATCAGTGACACCGTGGACCATATTTTAGTTTTTGCAGACCACTGGTGGTCCATGGACCACAGGTTGGGAACCACTGATCTAAAAGTGTATGTGAAAGCTACCTGATTTAGCTACTATCTCCAAGGTATGTCATTATGCATGTATGTGCAGATATAGATATTCTGAAATCTCAAATCCAAAACACTTATGTTCCTGAAAATTTCAGATAAGTGATACCAAACCTGTGACAGAAAAGCTTTGTGTAAATATAACAGAAAACTCTAGCCTTAATCCTATTAGTCAAGCAGACCCCCTGAACTAGTGGTTTGCATAAATGTTTGCATAAATGTTCAGCTATTGGTTTTGTGGTTTTATGGTCAGTGGGACTAATAATAGGATTCAGCCAGAATGTATTAAGTCCTGCAATAATTCAGTCTGAGGTATTGGGGCAAAGTGTCAGATCTCTAATTTGCATTTTATAAATTACTTTATTCAAAACATGTGGGTAGGTGGTTTGGGATTCCTTCTACAGCAGAAGGGCAGGTATTTTGCTAGCAGAGGCACCAAAGCGAAATGGAAACTGAGATTGAAAAATTAAAGCAAATACTGTAAACCTTCCAGTGTGAGGGTTAGGGGTGGAGGAACCCCGTGAAAGTGGGAAAATGGCAAATCAAAAACCATTATGTTTTAACCTGAACGAACACCTCTTTAGCAATCTCTAGGTCTTCCAGTGGGACCTTGTAGCCAACTTCCGCCAGAACCTGATCATAATATTATTCTGGAGGACATTATAAATTCCTAGAGAGGCGGTCTCTCTAGAAATCTCCAGGTCTTCCAGCACAGCACTGTGCTCAATGTCCGGCAGAAACTGAGTTGTACTGGAGGGCCTAGAGATTCCTAGGCAAGCCATATCAATCAAATCTGGAAATAATAAGTTCTGCAGACGATAAACCCACAAATATGGAGGGCCAATTGTACGGAAGACATACCAAAAATAAAGATAAAATGGCAGCAAACTATTATCCTCACTAAAAACAATTTAAAACAAAAATTGAAAGGATACAAAATAGTTTGAAAATGATACAAAATAGTTTGAAAAAGTTCCTCCAAAGTTAATTTTTCTTCTTTCTCTCTACTTGTTCAAAGATTTTCCAAGGTAGCGGACATCGAAGTGCAACTCCCTCTTTTTTGTCTGGCTCAGTAGCATTGAATCTTTTCTCCAGCATTGATGACGGCAGCGGCTTTGCAAGTCCTGAGCAAGTTATCTCTGTTTGGGCCCAGGAAGGGGTTGAAAACTGCAAGGAGCTGCTTAAGGTTTCTATGGCTGCCTTTTCATTCTCTGCCTGTGAATACTTTTGGTTGCTATTGGGTCTTTGTGCTATGCATATTATATTATATTATATTATATTATATTATATTATATTATATTATATTATATTAATAATAATAATAATAATATGATATTATAATTATATTTATATTACATGTAATATTACTAATAATATTACAATATAATGGTATAGTACAATATAATAATATTTAATACTGTTATTGTACTATGCTAATAATATAATATATTGCATGTTTATAAATCTTGTAAGCTGCTCTGAGTCCCCTTCGGGGTGAGAAGGGCAGCATATAAATGTCGTAAATAAATAAATTTACGACCACAAAAAAGCATATGGACTACAGCTATACTCTCCCTATCTTACAGTTATGCCCAGTCTGTTGTTAATCTTACCTCAATCCCCTTATTGTAAGCATTAACTCTTCTGTATAAAGAGCCTAGGAAACTGGTGTTAATACAAACCTTGGTAGTAATCTTGACTACTGATTTACTTAGACCTGCTAACTTCAAGAGTAAAAAGTTGACTTATTTTCCCCTTAATTTTGAGCCGTTCTTTACTTCTTTTTATAGAGTCTGGATTTCAACTTGGAGGAGAGAGTGAATCTCTTGGAGCTCTCCGCGACCCTCAGTGATGAATTAATGGCTTTGAAGAGCCAACTTCAGCAGGCTGCTTTTGCCACCTTTAAACATGAACTTCACCATCTAGAGTAACTATAATTCAGTGTGTTGTCGAAGGCTGTCATGGCCTGAATCACTGGGTTGCTGTGAGTTTTACGGGCTCGCATGGCTATGTTCCAGAAGCATTCTCTCCTGATGTTTCGCCCACATCTATGGCGGACATCCTCAGAGGTTGTGAGGTCTGTTGGAAAGTAGGCAAGTGGGGTTTATATATCTGTCAGGTGTCCAGGGTAGGAGAAAGAACTCTTGTCTGCTTGAGGCAAGTGTAAATGCTGTGGCGTGATGTAAAATAAACCACATGTAGTTCACGTTTGATCAGCCCACACACTGCCTTGCCAGAGAAAGAAAATGTGCCACACATGTGAATAGTAAAGAACAAGTAGTTTACTCTTTGCAGTTCAGAACAACATATGTACAATGTGATCAGTTGTGCCATCTCACACACATATACATATATACATATACATATGTATCTATATCTATCTATCTATCTATCTATCTATCTATCTATCTATCTACTTCATTACGGTCCATGAACCCACAGCTGTTAAATAAATAACATACAGGAGTTAAAAGATCATTATACAGACACATACTACACAGTGTCAAGTAATACCCTCACATAACTCACGTAATATTCAATTCACATAATATCCTTTTATGAGAGATCTAAAATGGTCTTTCTTTGTCCATGTGGATAAACCCCTTCAGCAGCTTATGAAGCAAGAGCACACTCCAAACTCTGTCTCTCTCTGCTTTGCTCTTTGTATTTGCATAGCTCAAGCCTGAACAAAAATGTATCAGTATCCAAAAGTCCCAGGCTCAGCCATTGCCTGACCAATCAGTTTCATGCATCTTATTTTACAGTTGACACACTCACTGATCCCTTGCATGCTCCAACAAATGTTGCAAATGGCTAGCTTGAATAGCATTGAATGACCTTGTAGCTTCAAAGCCTGGCTGTTTCTTACCCTAGGGGGAATCCTTTGTTGGGAAATGTTAGCTGGTCCTGATTGTTTCCTGTCTGGAATTCCCCTTGTTTTTTAGTGTTGTTCTTTATTTACTGTCCTGATTTTAGAGTTTTTAAAAATACTGATAGCCATATTTTGTTCATTTTCATGGTTCCTCATTTCTGTTGTTAAGGCCATTCAGTGCTAATCAAGTGGGTCAATTGTAACATTCACACCTGCCACAAGAGACATGAGTTCTTTCTCCCACCCTGGACATCCCACAGATATATAAACTTCACTTGCCTAATTTCCAATAGACCCCTCAATCTCTGAGACTGCCTGCCATAGAGTGAAACATCAGGAGAGAATGCTTCTGGAACATGGCCATACAGCCTGGAAAACTTACAGCAACCCACTAGCTGTAATTATTTCCTTGTATTTTTAAGATTGATTGGGCAGATAGGTTCTTTGTATATAGATTTTGCTACTTACCTGTGGCATAATGGTATACAGCTGCAGCATGTTTGTAGAAGGACCAGATGGAGAATCCTATATCCAAAACACTCAGTACTAGAAAGTTTTGGGAGTTTGGTTTCCCCCCCGAATTTGTAATACCTGTGTTCATATACGCATTTACTCAAGTCTCATGTGCCATTCACTCTAATGTGCACCTCAATCTTGAAGACTTTGAAACCAACATAAGTATTTGCTACTGAATATTGGTAATTATTATTGGTAATTTATGGATAATGTGTTAAGTCAATTGTTATATGTTGTATGGAACCACTGCTGTTTCTACTGTTTTTACTGTTTGTGAACCGCTGTGAGTCGCCTTTGGGCTTGAGATACAGCGGTATATAAGCAAAGTAAATAAATAAATAAATAAATAAATAAATATAATGTGCAGTGGCAAAAAAGGCACTCTTTGCAATGTGGCCAAAAAGGTACACATTGCAATTGCTGCATGCTTAGGATTCCTTCTTTAAAAAAGAAAATTGTTAGGGCTGGTTTCAATTTTAAATTGGGATTTTGAAAATTATTATTATCTGTACAGTCACTATGGAAAAGGGTATGATAGAAATTGCACAGCATAACAGTTCTAGAAAATGAAAACATTGTGTGAATTCACTTTGCAGAGTCCGGGTGGAACAGATCTCCACTGAAAGAGACAAAGCAAGACTTGAATTGGAGAAAGTGGAAAAGTGGAACTGGCAGCTTTCTAAGGAAGTCGATGATTCCCATAATGCTTTGGAGCACCACAATGAAAGCAAACTCAGGTACATGAACCAGTCTTTAAGTGTGTTGTTTAAGGCTTTCATGGCTGGAATCACTGGGTTGCTGTGAGTTTTCTGGGCTGTATGGCCATGTTCCAGAAGCATTCTCTCCTGATGTTTCACCCAAATGTAAGGCAGGCATTCTCAGAGATTGTGAGGCCTATTGGAAACTAAACAAGTGAGGTTTATATATCTGTGGCATGTCCAGGGTGGGAGATAGAACTCTTTGTCTGCTGGAGGCAAGTGTGAATGTTGCAATTGGCCATCTTGATTAGCATTGATAGCCTTGCAGCTTCAAAGCCTGTGCTTCCAGCCTGGGGAATCCTTTGTTAGGAGGTGTTAGCTAGCCCTGATTGTTTCTTGTCCAACAAAAGATTCTCCCCAGGCTGGAAGCAGCCAGGCTTTGAAGCTGCAATGCCATTGAATACTAATCAAGGTGGCTAATTGCAACATTTATAACATTCACACTTGCCTCAAGCAGACAAGAGTTCTTTCTCTCACCCTGGACATTCCACAGATATATAAACCCCACTTCTGACTATCACTTCTGACACAATAAATAAATGAATGAATAAATATGAAAAAAGAAATCAAACCAAATAATTAAACTAAATTCTAAAAATAATATGTTTTTCTTACTTTCATGGGGAAATGATGGGCGTAAGTGGCATTTTCACTACTTTTGTACATATGCTCTGCCACCCTGTGTTTTTCTTATTTTTCTTAGCTCATTTCTCTGAAGAGCAAAGTGTGGTTGGAGTTAGACTTGCTTAAATAAATGTTTGAACAGACAAAACACATAAATGGCCAGACCACAGAGAGGCAGATCTATTTATGGCCTCAGAAGCTTGTAAGATTTCGTGCCAAAGTGAGTTTGGGTTCAAGATTTCCCAGGGGAAATTTAAAAAATGGCCAAGAATCACAGTCATCGCAAGATTTGCCAGTTTTCACCATCTGCTAAGCTGGACACCAGAGCGTGAGCTTATTGTGCAATGTAGATATCCCCTCCTGCATTTGTTATGATGGGGAAATTGATGTACTAATTGTTAGGCTGTGATTTGCTCATTGTTAGGTTGTCCAATGGGTATGTTTTACAAACAGTGTGGAGAACCATGAACACTTCTCATACTACTGCTGAGGGCACATTTATACTGTAGAATTATTGCACATATTTAGCTGTCATGATTCACAGACCTCACAACCTCTGAGGATGGCTGCCCTAAATGCAGGTGAAACTTCAGGAAAGAATGCTTCTAGAACATGGAGGGTTTGTGGACTCAATTGCCTCAAAAGCTTTTTAGAAAGGGCAAAAATGTGTTTTTTAAAAGTATTTTTTTAGGTCTAATGATTTCTGAAGGTTCGGAAGATCTCAAGGAAGCCACTCACTGCTGCCAAGAAGGTTAAAACAGCCTCTTCCTTGAAATCTTTTAAAAAACAGCTAAAGACCTTCCTTTTCGTGCAAAAATTTGATGAAAACACTTAGCTGTAGTGACAGGAAGGCTAACTTTTATTGAGTCGTGCTAATGTTTACCATCTGTCTTGTGGAATTGCCTGCAATAATTGTATTAGAGAAATGTTTTAAAATATGTTTATTTATTTCTTACTGTAAATTTGTTTTTATAGGTTATTGTTTTACCTATGCATATTGTTTTGTATTGTCTTTTATATAATGTTGCAAACCGCTTTGGGTTCCATTTAGGGAGAAAGCGGGATAAACATGAAGATTTATTATTGTTGTTGTTGTCATTTGAAACATAACAAGATGAGTCCACAGCAGACAAGATCACTCTGCTGGCTGTTGTATTGGATCACACATTGGACACTTCTACGACTGTGTGATGTATTGGCGAATAATGTATGCAGATCCCAGTAAGGTGGCCTTCTGCAGCTGGCAGATGGTAATCTTTTCAGCGCTGATTGTGTTTAAGTGCAGGCCAAGGTCTTTAGACACTGCACCCAGTGTGCGGATCACCACTGGGACCACCTTGACTGGCTCGTTCCAGAGTCTTTGCAGTTCAATCTTTAAATCCTCATATTGTGTCATCTTTTAAGTCCCAGAGGAGTTTGACTTATTATTATTATTATTATTATTATTATATCATGCACACATTTAAAAAATACTGAAAATTATGCTTCTGTTTCACAGAGACCTTGAGCAAGATTACAGAGGGAAACTGACTGTTATGAAGTCTGAAGTTGAGACAGAAAGGGACCAATATTTGCACCAAGCTCAACATCAGAGGACCAAATTAGAAGCGGAAATCAAATCTCTGAAAGAAGAAGAGTCCAATTGGAGAGAGAAACTAACCTTGGTGATCAAGGTAAGGATTGATGTGCCTATGAAATAATTTTGCACAATTCGAATCAAAGGAGAGGATCTCAAAAATGCGGACTATCTCCCATATGCTAAAAATAACTAAACATGTGTTATTGGGTGATGACAATAAGTTTTTGATAGCATTGTGAATGCAAACTCTTCTGAATTAACTATGTAGCTGTCCAGCAATTGTAAAATGAATCACAGCATCATAATGCTCTGTTCTCTTTATATGTGCTTCAAATGTTTACCTGGTATTTTTAAAGGAGAACAGTCGCTTGCAAAATGAAGTTGCTGAAATGGTTCAAAAACTGGCTGAGTCTGAAAAACAAGCACTGAAGTTTCAAAAGGATCTTGATTTCTTGTTGAAAGACAAGGTAATGTCCCAGTGGCCAAGCTTACTTCCTCTGTGTTTTGGGAGGTTGCAGCTGTATTGGTTTTTGGGGATTTTGGGTCATCCCTCCTTGAGCGGTGATGGCGCAATCGTCAGCATAGAAATAAATAAATAAATAAATAAATAACTATAGACCTGCATGTAAAAGGTATGCATTTTTTAAAAAATAAATACTACCAATATGTTTTTGGCAGGGTCAGAAGGCTGTGGTCTTCTCTGCTGCTATATCCACTATTAAAATATTTGCATCCCACCTTTTCACTTTAGGTGACTTATGGAGATTGATTTTTAAAATCAATAAACACTCAAAAAAGTTAAATTAGGCAGCAGCAAAAAGAAAATGACAGCAAGACGATTTAAACATTTAAATGCAGAATAAAAGAAATAACAAAATTATAGGAAAAGTACATACAAAAACAGATTTTTCCTGATTCTTAAAAAGATGTTAATGATAATACTAAGGAGTGTCCAATATATATATCACTAGCTGTCCCTTGCCATGTGTTGCTGTGGCCCAGTCTGGTGATCTGGAAAATAAAGTAATGAGAAAATGTTGGTTTCTAATATATGTAATTTCTGCATGTTTGTGGGTAAACAGTATTTCTTGCTGTTTCGTTGTCAGTGTTGATGTAGAGATTATCTAGTTTGCCTACTCTCTGACATTCAACATATAATTATTCTTCTTTAGGGGCCCCTTTCAAACTTATGATACTATATCTGTCATATACATATATGTGTGTATGTGAGTCATATATCAATCTATATCTATGGCTGGATGGCCCTTTGTCAGGAGGGCTTTGATTGTTTCCTTGCCCTGATGAAGGGAGTTAGACTGGATGGCCTTAAGGCAGCATTTCTCAACCTGGGGATCGGGACCCCTGGGGAGGTCGTGAGGGTTGCCAAAGACCAGCAGAAAACACAGTATTTTTCTGTTGATCATGGGGATTCTGTGTGGGAAGTTTGGCTCGATCCTATTGTTGGTGGGGTTCAGAATGCTCTTTGATTGTAGGTGAACTATAAATCCCAGTATCTATAACTCCAAAATGTCCAGGCCAATTTCGCCAAAACCCAACTATATTCAAGTTTGGTATACTGGGTATGCATGCCAAGTCCAGATTCATCATTGTTTAGATTCATAGTGCACTCTGGATGTAGGTGAACTACAACTCCTATAAATTCCTCCAAAGACCTCCAGTATGTTTTGTTTGTCATGGGGGTTCTGTGTGCCAAATTAGTTCCAGGTCCATCATTGGTGGAGTTCAGAGCGCACTTGGATTGCAGGTGAACCATACATCCCAGTACCTACAACTCCTCTAAATCATGGGGAATTCTCTCCAAACCTCTCTAGTATGTTCAGTTGCTGATCAATTCCTCTGTTTGCTGTGTGTCATAGAAAAGAATAGGAAAGGGATTAGAGAGAGGCAGTGGGCAGGTGTTAGGAATTGTGGATGTTGAAGTCCAAAACACCTGGAGGGCCAAAGTATGCCCATGCCTGCACTAAAACATTTAGGATCAAACTGTAAGGCTTTCCATTTCGCTGGCCCTTTTGACAAATATTTCTACATCATGTTTGTCTTTCCTTGCTTTAGCTGGGACTTCTGGATCCACACAGCACAGAATTCTTTGATCAAGAAGAGCGTTTTGCTGAAATCATTAAAGAATATGAATTACAATGTCGGGTAGGTGATTTCTGATTGATCTTTTAACTAATGTATGGAGATGAAGTGCTACATAACCGAAAACCTAGACATGGATAGTCTGAATTTGGCACTTTCTCAAAATCATAGCTTAAATCTTCTAGACTAGTTAAAGAACTTTTTTGTCATCTACAAATTCAAGACTAACATACCATCATAAATCCCTTATATAGAATGAATATCCCTTATCTTTAATGCTTGTGACCAGGTTTGTTTTGATTTTGTTTTTTATTTTGGAATTTTCATATATTTCACATATTTACATAATGAAATATCCTGGAGATAGGACCCTAGTCTAAACATGAAGTTCATTTTTGCTTGATACACATAGCCTGAAGGTAATTTCATGAAATATTTCCAATCATTTTGTGCATAAAACAAACTTTATGTACATTGAGCCATCAGAAAATAAAGGTCTGACTATTTTAGTCACCCTTGTGGAATATTTCAAATTTTGGATTATTTTGGATTTTGAGATTCTAAATAAAGCGTGCACAAGCCGTAGTATGGAAAGCATATATTACTTTGTATTGTCAAAGGCTTTCGTGGCCAGAATCACTGGGTTGTTGTAGGTTTTTCGGGCTGTCTGGCCATGCTCTAGAAGCATTCTTTCCTGACGTTTTGCCTGCATCTATGGCAGGCATCCTCAGACGTTGTGAGGTCTGTTGGAAACTAGGAAAATCAAGTTTATATATCTGTGGAAAGTCCAGTTTGGGAAGAAAGAACTCTTGTCTGTTGGAGCTAGGTGTGAATGTTTCAATTAGCAACCTTGATTAGGCTACACAGAGAAGCCGTTGAAATCCACAAGCATGTGGAGAATTTCAAGAGAAAGGAAGAAACCATGAAAATGAACAAAACGTGGCTACCAGTATTAAAAATTATAGTAAATAAAGAAGAACACTCAAACACAGAGGAACTCCAGACAAGAATCAATAAGGGACAGCTAATCACCTCTTAACAAAGGATTCCCCCAGGCAGTAACAAGCCACACCTAAAAACTGGTCAAGATGGCCAATTGAAACATTCACACCTAGCTCTTTCTCCCACCCTGGAGATATATAAACCCAATTTTCCTAGTTTCCAACAGACTTCACAACCTCTGAGGATTCCTGCCATAGATGCAGGTGAAACATCAGGAGAGAATGCTTCTGGAACATGTCCATGCAGCCCGGAAAACTCACAGCAACCCATATATTACTTTTTGGAGTCTGAAAAAGAGCCTTTGTGTTTTTATTATTTTCTTGTGTTTCCCTCCCAATTGTTTTTTCCTGCTTTTTCAAACTCTCAACACTTGCTACTGATATCTATTCATAGAGGGTCAAGGTGAGCAGTTCATTTCCAAGAGTGTGCTTGATTTGGGTGTTTTTAACAATGCATTCAGTTTTGGCAACTTGCATGATGTTTTGTTGATCTTGAAATCTTAGGTGTTTACAAGCATTCTTGTTTTGTTTTCAAATGCCTGAATTTATGTTTTCATAGATGTGGGAAGGTAAGGCGAAAACAAAGGGACATAGCAGCACTTTTAAGGCTGTTTCTGTGAAAATCCTTACCGAGCTTGACCTGTTTAATTCCCACGAAGCATTGTTGCATTGTGTGTCCCTCAAGGAAGGGCAGACTAAGAGAGAGAGAAATCCACGTTTGAGTTTTGTCTTTAATCATTTCCCTGCTTATAGGATTTGCGTGACAAGAATGATGAGCTGCAAATGGAGATGGAAAAACTCTGCTCTCAGCTTCATGGAAGCAAACATAGCCAAACCAATTCCAAAATGAAGGCCAAGAGCTCTGGAGAAAGGCTCCTGCCCGAAAATGTAAAAAGCAGCCCGCCAGGTAAGAGATGCAAATTACACACAGCTGTTTAGGGCAAAAAGGACAACTCAATATATCTATATAAATAAAAATGTAAATGTCCATTTGTGAATGACCTCAAAACTCCCAAAATACTTTACTGATTGCTTCAAAATTTGGACACGCCGTAGCATTTGAACAGGTGAATGTTTTTATGTATTCACATACTTATTATTATATAGATGTCACACCTGTGACAGGTGTTCGGCATCAAAACAGCGTCATCTGCTGCATGTCACATCGCAAAGCAACCCCACCGAGCTGGAACCTCACCTAGCTTGCCTGCCTGCCTGCCTCCCTCCGAAGGAGAACTGGGAGAAGAAGAGTAGGAAAAGGGCAGCGGGGCAGGTAGGGAAATCCAGGCTGGGGAGAGGGGCGGGGCATGGGCCCAGGTGAGGCAGGCAAGGAGGTAGGCCCAGCCCAAGTCCTGGGCTCCCATAGCTTCATGCCCTACCCAGCCTTGCCCGGCACCACCTCACGCCCATACCTCCAGGAAGACTGGAGGTTCAGAAGGAAGGAAGGACTGAATGAAAGGAAGGAAGATATAGAAAGAAGGGAAGGAAAGGAAAGAGTTTTCCCCAAACATGCTGATCATTATTATATAGACCAGTGTCATTGCTTTTATTATCATTATAATACACACCAGTATTATTATTATATAGATTATAAAGGCCAGTATTATTATTATTTACACCATTATTATTATTATTATTATTATTATTATTATTATTATTATTAATTCACAGACAAAGGAACAACAAAAACATTGTATACCCATAAGCATTATGAAATTACATATATTTGAAACCAGCTCTTTCTCTTTTCTTTCTTTTGCATTTAACCAAACTGGGCCACAGCAATGCTTGGCCGGGTACAGCTAGTATGTGTATACAGTGTTCCCTTGCTACTTCACAGTTCCCTTTTAGCATACTCGCTGTTTTGCAGTTTTCAAAAAATATTAATTTAAAATGTATATCGCGGTATTTTTGCTGTTTTGCGGGTTTTTGCCACTCTCCGAGGCACTTTCCCTCCTCAGTTCTCCCTCCCTCCAGCCTTGAGGGGCCTTTCCTTCCTTTCCTTCACTTTATTTTAAGTTTATAAAGGCTTAAAATAGTGTATAACTACTAAAATAATGTATAAATATTAACATAAGTATAGCGTCCCTAGGTCGCAGTTTTTCACTTATTGTGGGAGGTTCTGGAACATAACCCCAGCAATAAGTGAGGGAACACTGTATACAGTAGAGTCTTTCTTATCCAAACTTCGCTCATCCAACATTCTGTATTATCCAGTGCAGTCGGTCTCTTGCCTGGATCCATAGCTGTTTGTCTAGGCAGCAATGCGCAGCCGGCCTTTCTGTGTGCCGGGCTCCCCGCCGGGAGGGCCAAGACAGGGCCGGCTCAGACTTTTCCCATCGGGCACAGTGTCTGGCCTCCACCAGCTGTGTCTCGCTGCTCCCAGTGGGCACCCGGAGAAGCCCGCTACGCATTACTGCCTAGGAAAACAAACAGCATATTGCTGCCCAGAAAAACAAACAGTGCATGGCTGTAGTCAGTGTTTTCAATACACTGCAATGTTTTGATGCTAAATTCGTACATACAGTAATTACTGCATAATGTTATCATGTATTGAACTACCTTTTCTGTTGATTTGTTATAAAACCAACAGTGCTTATTAGTGCTTAATTTGTAAAATCATAATTTGAAGTTTAATAGGCTTTTCCTTAATCAAACTACAAGAAAGGAGATTCCATCTGAACACGAGGAAGAACTTCCTGACTGTGAGAGCCGTTCAGCAGTGGAACTCTCTGCCCCGGAGTGTGGTGGAGGCTCCTTCTTTGGAAGCTTTTAAACAGAGGCTGGGTGGCCATTTGTCAGGGGTGATTTGAATGCAATATTCCTGTTTCTTGGCAGGGGGTTGGACTGGATGGCCCATGAGGTCTCTTCCAACTCTTTGATTCTATGATTCTAATCCCTCCATATTATCCAATATTTTCGCTTATCCAGCATTCTTCTGGCCCGTTTATGTTGAATAAGCGAGATTCTACTGTGTGTATACACACACACACACACACACACATAAATACACACACACACATACATATATGTGTTTATTATTATTACTATTACTATTATTATTATTATTATTACTACAGTCCCATTCTTGGTTTACCCCTGGAGGCAGACCCTCATGGCAAGCCATCCATTTGGGATTTCCTGGTTTAGCTGCCCACAGGGATGCTCTTGCTGTTGCTGGGGAACATTTAAAGGAGTGGTGGTTCTCATGAAACTTTTCCTAGATTTAAGTCTACTGGGAAGAGGCTGATAGCCATGCAGTGGCCGGCTTTCACTGTGTTCAGCCTTATTTCTCTCACATTTAGCAGCAACTTCTCGTCGCACATCTGGGCCGGGGGGGGGGGGGGCATGCTAGCTAGCTTATAGAGTCTATCAACAGGTGTAGGTTTGAGACATCCTGTGATTATTCTACATGTTTTGATCATGTAGAATAATGAACTCCACCTTGTGTGACTGTGGAGCAGAACAAACAACTCCGCATCCATATGCTTGCCCCCAATGCCCTGCCTCATGCACAGATGAATAATTATTTAAAGCTACAGATAATGCGGTCGCCATTGCCCGTTTTTGGTCTAAAATTATTTAGTCTAGTGGTTCTCAACCTGGGGTCCCCAGATGCTTTTGGCCTACAACTCCCAGAAATCCCAGCCAGTTTAGCAGCTTTTAGGATTTCTGGGAGTTGAAGGCCAAAAACATCTGGGGACCCCAGGTTGAGAACCACTGATTTAGTCCCTTGTGCTCCCTCTGTTTAACAGTTTTATAATTGTTTATTTATGCAATGCTTTTGTCATGAAATAAATAAATAAAATAAAATATTACGGTCAATAACCAGCACCAAAGAAGATCAGAAGTCAAAATAGGAACATGCCATACATGTTCCTTTGGCAGCCAGAAGGTAAACAACATAACACCTTACATAAAACAGATCACTGTGATAAACTTTCTAAAACTGGATTTATAAAATGTTTTTGACAGTCTTGGTAAAAAGAACAGTACTGAATATAATGCTGGAGGTAGATGATGGCATTTAAATGGTAAATTGTGCCACCAGATGTCTCTGTAGGCACAATGCTCAATGTAGGACTGAATTCTTTTTCTGTTGACTAGCTTTTGGCTGCCAAAGTCACTCGCTTTTGTGCAGTAACAATAGCTTCTGGTGCAACATACTGTCATGGACTTAGGAGGTTTTAATACTTAATTCAGTTTTACCTTTGTCATCTAAGTATTTAAATATTTAATACTGCTTTTTATCATATTCAATACTGGCTTATAACTTTGTCATTATAAAAATGGGTCATGTGAACTATAAACCCGCCTCCTCTCTTGTTATTATGAATCATTTCCCATTAATGTATACCTTCAAGTTGTTTCTGATTTATGGCAATCCTAATGTGAATCTATTTTATTGGCATGATTTATTCAGAGCGAATTAGCTTTAATTTCCCTCAGAGGCTGCAAGAGTGCGACTTGTCTAAGGCCACCCAATAGATTTCCATGGCCAAGCAGGGATTTGAACTCTAGTCTCCAGGGTCATGGACTAACACTAAGACTACCATAATATGGAACTTTTTCTGCACCCCTTGTCAATTAAGAAATTACAAGATAAAATAAAGAAATTTAGATGAAACTATACTTCCATGGGTTGCTGTGAGGTTCCAGGCTGTATGACCTGACATTTCACCCACATCTATGGCAAGCATACCCAGAGGTTGTGAGGCCTGTTGGAAATTAATCAAATGGGGTTTATATATCCGTGGAACATCCAGGGCGGGAGAAAGAACTCTTGTCTGTTTGAGTCGAGTGAATGTTGGAATTGGCCAACTTGATTAGCATTCAATGGCCTTGCAGGTTCAAAGCCTGACTGCTTTGTGCCTGGGGAAAATCCTTTGTTGGGAGGTGTTAGCTGGCCCTGATTGTTTCCTGTCTGGAATTCCCAGTTTTTTGTGTGTTGGTCTTTATTTACTTCCCCAGTTCTAAGCTTTTAAATACTGGTAGACAGCTAATACCTCCTGAGAAAGGATTCCCCCAGGCAGGAAGCAGCCAGGCTTTGAAGCTGCAAGTCTATTCTATGCTAAACTAGCTGTCCAATTACATACTTAACTCCAACAGTGGATTAGTATATTTGAGACTTGCAGATTAAATAACGAACTGCAGGTAAAATATATAAGAAAAAAAAAGCACCAAATGTTTGCACTGTCATAGTTGGAAGAGACCTTGTGGGCCATCCAGTCCAATCCCCTGTCAAGAAGTAGGAAAATCACATTCAAAGCATCCCTGACAGATGTCCATCCAGCCTGTGTTTAAAAGCCTCCAAAGAAGGAGTCTCCACCACACTCAAGGGCAGAGAGTTCCAGTGCTGAACAGCTCTCTTTCTAATGTTCAGGTGGAATCTCCTTTCCTGTAGTTTGAAGCCATTGTTCTGTGTCCTAGTCTCCAGGGCAGCAGAAAACAAGCTTGCTCCCTCCTCCCTATGACTTTCCTTCACATATTGATCCATGGCCCTCATCATGTCTCCTCTCAGCTTTCTCTTCTGCAGGCTAAACATGCCTACCTCTTTAAGCCACTCCTCATAGGGCTTATTCTCCAAACCCTTGATCATTTTAATTGCCCTCCTCTGGACACATTCCGGCTTGTCAACATCTCCCTTCAATTGTGGTGCCCAGAATTGGACACAGTATTCCAGGTGTGGTCTAACCAAGTCAGAATAGAGAGGTAGCATGACTTCCCTGGTTCTAGACACTATACTCCTATTGATGCAGGCCAAAAACCCATTGGTCCTTTTAGCTGCTGCATGACATTGTCGGCTCACGTTTAACTTCTTGTCCATGAGGACTCCAAGATCTTTTTCACACGTACTGGTGTTGAGCCAGGCATATCACCGAGACCTGGCTAGACGAGCTGGGGGGAGTAAATCTCACTCAGTTGTGCCCACCAGGTTTCGGAGTGCATCAGCAGGCCAGACAAGGGGGGCGGGGAGGAGGGGTCGCAGTAGTCTTTCGGCAATCCATCGCCGTGATCAGATGCGCTGTTCCGCAGGCTTCTGGGTTCGAGTGTGTCCACTTGAAAGTGGGGAGCCGTGACAGTGTGGGGTTCCTGCTGGTGTACCGCCCACCCCGCGACCCAGCAGCCTCCCTGTCTGAGCTAGCGGAGGTGGTCTCCAACTCGGCCTTGGTTTCCCAGCGCTTTGTGGTGTTGGGAGATTTTAACATCCACGCTGAGACCACCCTATCTGGCGCAGCTCAGGACTTTATGGCCACCATGACGGCCATAGGACTGTCACAAATAATATCCGGTCCCACTCATCAAGCTGGACATACTCTTGACCTTGTTTTCGTGGCGGACAACGAAATGATTAGAGTGGAAGATCAAAACATCCTTCCAGTGTCATGGTCTGATCATTATCTGATCACTTTTAGACTTGCTGCGACTCTTAACCTCCGCAGGGGTGGAGGACAGATTAAAATGGTCCGCCCTAGGAGACTGATGGATCCGGACGGATTCCTGAGGAATCTTGGGGTTCTTCCTGCCTTGGAGCCTGGCGATTCTATCGACGCCTTGGTAACTCTCTATAATGGGGAGATGTCCAGGGCGATAGATACGATCGCACCCGAACGCCCCATCTCGTTGCGTCGTGACAGGCCATCTCCCTGGTTCACCGAGGAGCTGGCTGTGATGAAGCATACGAGAAGGGGGCTAGAGCGCAAATGGAGGAAATCTCGGGACGTCTCTGATCGAGCAC